AATCATAGTAACTGTCAACCGATGATACCTGTTCCTTCCAACATCCTAGATCGCGAGTTAATCAGAATTCATCCTGCTAAGAGGCTTCAACGAAGAACGTATAATACAGTGAAACGTCGATAACTCGAATGGCTACAAGTAGAATTTTTGATAACTCGAAGGAATATCTTCGACCCTGCATTCGACCGAATTTTTTCTATAACTCGAATTTTCGATAACTCAAATTTTTTTTCGACCCCAAACCGATTCGAGTTATCGAGGTTTCACTGCATAATATTATTATCACAGCCGTTTAGTAAACTCCGTCGGGGTGGATTGCAGTGCGGTGCTTGACCGCGAAATATTCTAAACATTCCGATAAGTGCGTTGGTTTGTGTGTGTGTGTGTGTGTGTGTAAGCGCGTGCACGCGAAAAAGGGCATTCGGCTAATAGCGTTCAAGGCCGTCAACACGTGCAGTGTAATATTATATAGTGCGAGAGAACATAATATATATAATATATATAGACGACGGAGTCCTAGACATTGCGACAATATAATATACAATCATAAGCGCATTTCGAATCATAAATTACAAACGTTTTTTTAATTATGGCCCTCAGATCGAGATATATTTTTTTCACGCTGCAGGATAGACAGGCACGGCACGTGCAGCACATTCGAGTCTGAGCATTTTATTATGATTGTACACATAGGTACCTCTATGTATATAATATATTATGTACACACACCTAATACATACAATATTACTGTTGCCAGCCATTATACGCGTGTGTGTGTATGAATACGCTATATACATATTATTATAATCGATATATATTCGCACTACTGTCTGCTGTGGCTATTATAACTAATCAGTCCAAATGGTTTTCTTTGACGGTATTTTGCTGCAGCCGCGGACGTACCCACCTATACAATATCATTATCGCCTATATATTATTATTATTATTAGGTTTAGGTATATATCATATCATATAGCTACGGGGCATGCATCCAGCGCGATCGCGGTATTCGGCAACCGGTTGTCTATTTTCGAAATAATAAGGCCGCGAAACGTATAGGAACGTATATAAATATGTACTTGGCAGAACGCCTATATATATATATATAGTGTGTGTGTGTGTATGTGTACGACCTAGTCGAAAACGCATTGACGAGACGACGATTAACAAATCCGATGAAAACATAATACACCGCGGATTTGCGTAATAATGATATACCTAATAAATATCATAAAATAAATATTTTTTTTGTTTCGATTAAAATAACGCTAATATGGAATACGACTCTTAGAACTATACTCTATGTACTAGTGCAGCCATAAGCAGGGGAGGATTGAACTTAAATTTCGAATGACCAGAGGCGTGTCTAGGACCAAATTTTAGGACAGGCCCGGTTACAAAAATAATTTGTGTATAGTCAACACATTTTTCAGTTTAAGAAAAATTGCATTATACTTTTTAAGTCATGAGGATGACGTACTATTTATTAAGAACTATTTATAATATAAAAAATACAAAACGAAGACTGCCACTCTCGAGCTCGGTCGCCAACCGTGACAATAAATTTAACACAGGCGGTGATCGCCGACCAAATACCGACGGACGTCGGGTCGTGTAATATCTATATAGAAATGTGGGGTATTTCCAGGAAGCGCTTGAGAGAATTGCCGATAACTTTTACTATTGTTAATTTTATTTATAGACAAATATTTATATTGTTTACAGCAAAAAATATTATCGATACATCGTGTGCTTACCTATATAAATATAATTTTAAAATGCATATTTTGGGTACACTTAAAGGTTAAAAATCAGGGTAGGCCCGGGCCCACCAGGCCTACCCGCTGGACACGCCTCTGCGAATGACGCATTTTTATAATTAAGTACTTATCAGATATCACCACCTGACCACCACAACTACCAACCATTATAACTCGTAACAAAGTTATGATATTTTAAATAAAATGTGGTCAAAAGAGCCAAGAGGTCAGGCCTTAGCATGTAATTCTGCGCCACAGACTGCACGGTGTGGCATTACCCCCTTTGAAAAGTTGACCCAACTGCGTCAAAATTGAACTATTCAGCTCGCCCCTGGCCATAAGAGTCTTATAATATCTATGAGTGCAGCGTTCAATATCGGACGACGATTTTTTAACTGTTCGTCCATCCGTCCGGTCTGCTGCGTCGGAGGTTTACCTATATGACTTCGATGGTTTTACAACCCGCACAGGGCATTACAAGATATGGGTCGGCCGAGAAAATCGAAAACCTCGTCTCGGACTCATCTGCAGCGCAGCCGGACGATGACGAATCGGATTCGTAGCATATATTATATTTTCGCAGCTTACGCGTCGGATTTAGGCCAAAGAAAGTGTTGAAATCAGTCCGCCGCTCGAGGATTGCGATTATAATAAAATAGTATGGATACGCGACTCGTATAAAATCTATCGGTGACGACGCCGGCTGTGTATATATATATATATATCTGCATTCTGTATCACTCCCATCGGAGTCGGACGCGTCGAATGAAGCGATTATATAGTAATGTTAGGTCGAAAACGAAAAGTTATTATTAATAACGTATTATTAATATATTGTCTGTCCGAAACCATCGTTGAACTAGATCACGTAGGTAAGACCATAGCAGCAAAAATAATCGAGTGGCCTATAACATACTAATTTATTATGTCTCTGGTCAACTTGTTGTCAGCATGCTATGTGCACGTGGGTAAATACCATTCGGACGTGGTGATAAAGGTGTATCGCACTTTTAAAAATCTCAGTCTCGGTCTCCAATATATTGCCCGTGCGCATGTTTTGTTGCAGCCTTTATATTACTATCAGCCGACGAATACCAAGTTAATAATTTGTTAAAAAAAAAACACAATTAAACAAATGACCTGGTTTAGTTTACCGGTTGTAATGGTTGTATGTCTTGAAAAGTTATTAGCGACTTGCCGTATTAAGATCCTTTCCTCGTTATAATTTAACGTATTATTTGACTAAAATAATTAGTTGATATAGGTAGCTTATGGATATGAGCTATATTATATAGTGTTGATATAATTACTTACCGTGCGCTGTATAATTATTTATTATACGTTTATATAGAATACGATTAATATAGGTGTGATTACAGGATATACTTTCATTTCGGTGTAGATCAGCGGCGTTGATATTTTTCAAGGTACCTACACGCAAATATAATTTGCTTCGATATTTCAATTTTTTTTTTTAATTACAATATCATTATTACGCATTATCATAGTGATTCAACCCAATTGTTTATGTAAACACGAGAGTAAATGCGTTCACAGTGTTTTATAATTAAGAAGACAATATTATTATATCTATAGTGGCCATTACTCTGTTAAGTTTTTCGTAAATCGGTAAGCTAACGAGAGCAGAAAATAATATTATAATATGGGTATATAATATAATATAGGAAACAACACGAAGAACAATGACGTACATAAAATAATACAATATTATATATTTGGCGTCTCTCTTTTTTTCCTATTTTCACATATAATTTATGATTGAGAGATTGACCGCGGACTGTAAGTAGATAAATCCGTATGTATATTATTATAATAATAATAATAATAATAATATATAGGTAGGTACAATCGGAATGGAACAATTTATAGACGTCATATACGCTGTATCGATTCGTCCATAATTTGTATTGTGTCGTTCATTTGATCAAATTATCACGGTTGACATATTTAGAACTTATATATGGAACTATGGAAGTAATGCTAGTGTAAAGTTTCATATTTTAAACATATCTTAGTCCGTGATTTTAAACATTATAATTAATCAGTAAGAATAAATAACAATCGATATAACCATTCAACCATTGTAACGACAAGTCGAATACTTTTCACCCTTCTGGTAATACCCGGTATCGCATGGTTGAACTAAAAAGATGACCACGATGTTCAGCCGACTAAAACACTGGGATTTTAACACGACGTGGACGATAGAGTGTAAAGGCACTTTGCGCTGCACATACGCTAAAGGTGGGTTTTCACTACAAACACGCTTTAACTTGTATATTATACTTGTGTGATGATTGATGAACGTAGTTCACGTTCGCCTTGAATGCACGTTTCATATTGGTTGACATTGGTAATACGGATTCGGGATTAAATGGTCATAATTTATTAATAGGACGCCACACCCGCGTGTGTTGTCTCCGTCTTACAAGCGAGTAACATAATATCAAATTTAAGCATATCGCGTTCAGCTCCGTTAGTTTAAACATATTAAAGTGAATCAACCTTTTATGATACTCTATGGCAAGAATGCATTATCTGTGTTCGTTTGGACCACCGTTTTTTTGTTGGTTATTTTATGATTATTCAGTTTTCAAGTGAGTTATGATTATTTTTAATTTGCGCTGTATTATATACGCAGAACTTGCTAAAAAATTGAAGTATCGTAAAAAAACAACATACGAACACAGATAATGTTCTTACCATATCAAATTTCATAATAAGTCGATTCACTCTAATTTTTAAACTGACGGACCTAAACGCGATCTGCTGAGCGTAAATTTGCCATGTTACGCACTCATGAGACGAAGAGACAACATATGCGTGGGTGTGGCGTCCGAAATTGTTGAACTAGAACAAAAAAAAACCGGTAACATTGCTGGCGTACCTATATAAACACACTGGTATACCAACATTTACCATGGATAAAAATCAATCGTAGCAGATGGCTTTTATGCACGTGTCGAATAGGTATATACTTCATAATAGGTTTACTTACGTAAATAATTGCAATATTTTCAATTAATACAATATTGCTTTTGGAATACGCTCCCTTTAAATATCACGCCTTAAAATTTAGTAAAAAATGAAAACATATTTACTCATCGCGTATTAAATTGTGTAAAAAGATTATTGAGAATTTTCTATCTTCCATCTTTTTAATAAAAAAAAATTCATCTAAGGCATTTAATTAATTGTTTGTTTCGTGTTACACCGCAGGTATCGCATTGCGCGGGCCGCCCTTGGCATCAACGGCGGCAGCAGCGGCAGAGACCACCAGTGTCACCAACGCGGCCGGCGGTGGTGGTGACGGTCGCATCGATCTACGCGGAATACGATGATCCGTCCGTGGCCGTCAACGGACACCCGCCGCCGTCGGACCAGAGCCTGCAGCAGCAGGAATCGCCGGAGCCGGATTACGGGGAACCGGGGCGGACGTTCGTGGAACCGGAACGGGTGTACGCGGAACCGGAACAGAACTACGAGGTGGACGAGGCGGTGAGCGTGCTGAGCGACGGGCGCGTGCACGGCGTGCAGCAGCAACCGACGCCGACAACCGCGGTGTCCGGGAGTTACGACGCCAGCAGCAGCACCACCGATAGCGGCAGCACCGACACCGCCATCACCGGCTTCACCACCACTTCGTCAGCAATCACTACCACCACCACGACCACCACGACCGCTTCCACTACGACGACCACGACTCAGGCGGCGGAAACCCGGAAGAGCGGTTACGTGGTGGACGGAAAACACTACCGGAAGTACAGGGTCGAGGAAGAGACGCCGGACGGGTTCATCGTGGGCGAGTACGGAGTGGTCAGCCACCACGACGGCACCACCAGGGGCGTCCGGTACACGGCTGACAGCAGCATCAATCCGCGGGTCATATACGAAGCACTGGCCAAATTCTTGGCCCTCAGGCGCCGCCGGTAGACGTCGCGGACGGACGACGGCGAACTGCCGCTGGCCAGCCGGACGATATCATCATTATATGTTCGGCTGATCGTACATCGTAATATCATTATAGTATAATAATCATCGGTTATCATAATATTATAGAATAATAATCATCGATTATCAATATTATAGTATAGGCAGGTTCGCTGCCGTTCGAAACTATCTCTTTTTTTTTTATATAAACGAAATTTCTAGTCAGGTTCTATCATACTTGTCGTGACCGCCAATCGCAGCCGGCCTCAATAAACGAATAAACAGAAGACCAACAACAACAACAAACATCGTACTCAAACATAATATAATAATAACAATAACAATATTATAAATATATTTACGCGCGTCTTGTCCGAATCGCGTTCAGTGCCATTTTCCGCGAACAGTGTGACGGAACTTTATACGTATTTATAATATTATATTATTATATTAAGACGCTCTTACTCGGAATATATATATATATATAATATTATGTTTTTTTTTTTTACTGTGACTGAATGAAAATTTGGAAAAATGTAGATTTATATATAACAATAAATATTATGTTTCGATCGAAATAAACGTATGCGTAACACACAACATAATATTATTATTATTATTATTACCTATATAAGAAGCTTATTGTTGTGTTTCTCACGTCATCGTAGGACGACAAACTCACAATAGGTGTGCAGTTTTTTTAATCCGGCTCAGAATTTTGAAATTTCGAGAAAAATATCGATCCCGTCACTTCTCTGCTAAGTCAAATCGAAAAAGTCCCACCGATAATACGTATCGAAATCCATATAGAGTGAGGCCTGAGTGACGCATAACATACAGCGTGATTGACAAAAAACTCTAAGTTGCAGTATGGTTTTAGTAAATTTTTCAATTACTCCGTTTACACATTCCAAACGTCTTTTTACCTTCGCGGGACGCACGATTCCTCCGTCGGTAAATGATAACCACGACCACTTGTGTGATCCTTCCATATATTATAATATCTGCACTATAGACGCTTTACACGATAATCTTCATTCAAATGATATTTTTCTATCGGTGATATCATCAACGAGTTTTTAATTTTATTTTTTATCGGGGTTCGGGTGTACCTACTCTTTTTTTTCAGTTTGTGCCGATAACCGTGTTGGATTACGAAATCCTTGGAATCCAAGTAAATGGCAACGGAAGAAATCTATATAGGTATACCTACTATCAATGACGATTCTGAAGACACGAATATTTGGTGTACATCGAAGTAATCCTAATATAGCTATTGTTAAATTTTAAACCGTGAATTCTTATTTCGAAATCTTTAATAGTTTAATATTTTGGCGTATCATCTACAATGTATATATTACGTGCTTCAAAGTCGTCGCTGTGTTACACAACGACTCGGCCGAATGGATCAATCCCCGAAAAATCGTAATAATATGTATAATAGATGGTTGTTATTTTTATTTTACCAGACTACGGATCGAAGGTCATGGCCTCATCGTAATTCATTGGCACACTACACTATAATTGTATGTGTGTGTTGCTGCAGGTGAGTATATAGGTATACCATGTTTGTGGCCAGCGACCATATACCGCAGAACGCGTGTTTTTATCATTGCAGTAATTTTTACACCACTCTACTCTGTATATATATATATATTATTATATGACGACCGTTTAAATAATATAATGTATAAATAATACGTCCGGCGCTATGCGGTTTGATACAACAAACCGGAAGTGAACGATTACATGCATAATACACTGCGCCGATCACCTACACCATAGTAGTTTTGCGCGTATTACAATATAATAAAAAATGAATTATGCGTCCGGTCGACCTGAATTGTGACACTATAATATACAAGTGATTTCGATCTATGATCTATATACTTACGAGTTACGGCTGTACCTATGCATTCCTGCAATTTTTTTTTTATAGTGTGCAGTCCATCACCAAGGCTCCGATACTAATATTAAATCGTCTGATATCGACGAGTTTTTCGGTTAAAATTTCGATTTTAGATTCTGAGTGAAACGATGAATGTATTGATTTTACAATGATGTGTGTTTTTTTATTTTTTTTTTTATTTTTTTTTTTATTTTTGTGTCTGTCATCACGTTTTAGGACAGTAAAAGTGCTTCGATTTTCTTCATCAGTAGCTTTTCTGATAGGAAAGTGAATCTAGTTGGTACTTTGGGGGGTCAAAAGTATAAATTTCCCAGTAGTTTTCACAAGCGCCGGGAAAAACAACATAAAAATTAAGGAAAAACGGGAATTTTTACGCAAAATTGGTTTTCCAAAAAATCGATTTTGGTTTTTGGTGTAACTCTGAAACAAATGAACGTATATACATGAAATTTTCACTGGTTGTTTATATTTGCATTTTCTATACACGATAACATTTTCAAAATATTTTGATTTATTTTGAACTGTTTAGGGACATTTTCATTTTCCATTTTTTTTTTAGTTTTTTTTCTAAAAATATCAATAAAATTTTATTTGTTGGTTGCGAAAGCTTGAAAATTTAATAGAAGGCTCCTAATATATTGTTTCAAAGGCAGATGAAAAATATTAAAAATCCTTAGTCACAATTTTTTTTTATAAGCATTTAAAGTTCAAAAATTGACAAAATATGGAAAAATCACGAAAATTAGCAAATTATTTTGAGTTAAGAATTCGTAAAAATTTTTCTTTTTAAATCTAAGATTTGAAAATGAAACACAAGATTCCTTATAAGATTATCTACCTTTATCAATAAAAAAATCTCTACCGGACAGTCAAATTAAATTTTTATGAGCGTTTGAAATTCAAATTTTTACAACATTGGATTTTCACTCGATTTCTCATGTAGCGATTTCCTTATTTTGTTGTAATTCAAAAACGAATAACTGTAGATACATGAAAATTTCACTGAATGTTTATATTAGCATTTCCTATACACCATACAATTTTGAAAATATTTTGACTCTTTTTGAGCTGTTTATGGACATTTACAGCTTTCAATTTTTTTTAGTTTTTTTTTCTATAAATATCAATAAAGTTTTATCTGTTGGGCCAAAAAGTGTAAAAATTTAATACAAGGCTCCTGATATATTGTTACAATATCAGTTGAAAAATATTAAAAATACATAGGCACGATTTTTTTTTATAAGCATTTAAAGTTGGAATTTTGACAAAATTTATCAAAATCTCGAAAATTATCAATCGTTGGAATTAAAAAATTATAAAATGTTCAGTTTTTATAACTAAGAGTTGAAAATTTAAAACAAAGATTCTCTTAAATAATTCATACTGTAACCAAAAAATCTAAAAAATATATAAACACACTTATTTTTTACAGACATTTTAATTTCAAATTTAGACAAAATTTCATATTTAAACCAAGAATTACGATTTTAGTTATTTTGTTGTGATTGAATAATATTATTCGTGGGTACTTGAAACTTCTAAAGTGTACTATTATATATCTATGACAGTATCACGGTTTTTGTTGATGTATAACGCGTTATAACTGTTATAAGTATCTAATGGATATTGTGATATGATTAATTTGGAATTTATTATAGGTCATTTTTTTGTTTAATACCATAGATATGTATATAATATGTCTTATACATAGACACCGTGACATACCGTCACCGCTCAGAATCGTTTTTCTTATACAATGATATTATATCATTGAATTCAAATTTAATACCATCCATTATACAGTGACCCACTTGTAACCTACAGTACAGCAGAACGACACCCACTTGCCCACCTTTTTATCATCTTATTTTATTTCCGTCTCAACGATAACATATAATATTATGCTATAGATTAGGTCCACACGAATACACGATATTTATACACACATTTGTATATATATAATATAATAATATATAGATCTGCAGGTACCCGTCGTGTATTGTACCTATATTTATAGCTAGGTATGCGTATCTCTGGGTATATATATTCATTTTTTTACAATAACGTTTTTCTCGTCTTTATAATACGCCGTGGAAATTAAAGTCGATTTCCACGGTATATACGAACCCGTGTGATGCGTATGTGTCGGAGAACGCTAAACACCACGACGATGGTCACAACGACCTCAATGGATGTCATTGCCGTTGGGCAATACCTATCGTCGTCGGACGAATGACGCGTGATGTGTGCGGTTGCCTGTCGGAGGAAACTGCGAACGAATAATAATAATAATAATTATTATTATTATTATTATTTGGCGAATTTAAGCATTTTTTTTTAAATTCGTAATTTTGATGCGATAAATGATGATAACAATATGGTTTAGATTTGCGTCTGCAGTATGGAAGGTATGTTTAAATTATCATCAACTTGTGATCAAATGCGAGCAGTCCCTAAATTTAAATTATACGACGTTCGTACCGGCATCGACATCGTTGGGGGGGGGGGGAGCAGCGGCAGCAGTGGGTGTTCATACTTATGACTTTAATGTGATGTTTTTTTTTTTTAAGTATTATACTATAATTTATAATATCTAGCCGTTTTGCATGCCGTAGTTATTCCCTTGGGTCAAATTAAAGTCATAAAATATGAGTAGAAAACGTTATTTTTTGTTGTATAGTAAAGTAGGTATGCTAAAGTCGGACTTTCAAGAGAACCGTTCAATGCGACCGTTATTCCTCAGGACAGTTGTGGGATCAACCGAGAGCCAAAATGTAGGATGTATTAAAATGATGTCCAATTTAATCAAACATATCCAGAATATATATGATTATTGATTACCTAATAATATATATTATTAATCAGCCGCACACAAGTGTGACCAATTATAAATTAGATATTATAAAATATAAATACAATACAATCTTTGAATATTTAAAAATGAAAAATCAATAAGGTATAAAAACTATAGTATAGGTAAGTAAATACTAGTAATGTGGTTTATAAATACTACAGTTTACAGCATGCTCATAGTAGTAGTTTATTTTGTGTTCTAAAATTACAAATCTACAATATTATATATTATATACTTTGA